ACTTTAACTCCTAACATGACAATCTTACATGTAAAAGAAAGATGAGAAAAATGCACTTACGTTTGATTTCCAGCTTGGTGCCGCCACCGAACGTGAGCCACAGTGGCGACTCTGACATGTGCCCCCTCAACAAAAACCTGCCTCTGAAGTCAATCCAACTAGATGGGCCAAATTCAGAGGGAAATCCCAGCTTTTTCTTATCCACTCCCTTTACAAACCTATTCCCACAAGTCTAACATGAATTTCTTGGCTCAACTTCCCACCGGCTGTTTTTCTGGGACTACTGATGTATATGGGTCACCAGGAATGACTCATTTAGCCAAAATATCACAAACTAACATAGATGATACAACAGAATCAAAATGTCACAAATAAGTGAGCAAAAATCTACTTACGTTTAATTTCCAATTTGGTCCCTGCGCCGAACGTGAATCACAGTGATTCACGTCAATGCCCTCCTCTGTCAAAATCTGCCTCTGAAGCCAGTCCAATTGGACTTGCCAAATTCAGAGAAAAACTGTTTCTTTTCCCTTCCTCTCACAAATCCTACGTTTTCTCACAGAGCTAATGTGAGGCCAGTCTGTCTGCCCGGCTTCTATACTGGCTATTTTTTGGTGCTCCTATTTAACTTTTGGATGACCTGGAACTGTTCATTTAACCAAAAACACCACAGACTTACACAAAAGACACAATGGGACCCAAACTTCACAAACAGTTGAGCAAAAATGTACTTACGTTTTATTTCCAATTTGGTCCCTGCACCGAACGTGATTCACAGTGATTCACTTTAACTTCTCACTCTACAAAAACCTCCCTTGACAGGCAAGTATCCCTCTTTCCCCAGCTTAGTTACATTGGTTTAGAAAGCCTAAAAATCAGTCACTAGCCAGCCTCCGGTGTGGAACGGTTTTCCCTCCCTAAAACCTAATCTGAGAGACTGGAGTTTGTTACATCCCTGAAATCCCATTAAGGAAAGCACACAAAAAAGTACAAAGTAACCTGATTAGACACAGTGAAGAATTGGTTGAGAAGAATACTTACGTTTGATTTCCAGCTTGGTCCCGGCTCCAAACGTGTATACACACTGGTTTCCCTCCACTTCCCCCCAGTACAAAAACTGAGTATCGCCTTCTGACCACTGAGCAACCCCTTGTCTAGAACTCTCTTGTCTTAATTATTACACTGACATTTGCTCTTCAGAGAACATGTACAGTCTATTCCCAGGTTTGCCTACAGTTATTATTTATCTTTGCCCTGGAGAATGCCAGAATCTGGTTTCAAAGTCAGATTTTTGTACATTACTTTTAGACACAGAGACCACGAAACATAGTGCAGGAAAGAGAGTTTGGAGTCTACTTACGTTTGATTTCCAGCTTGGTCCCGGCTCCAAACGTGTATACACACTGGTTTCCCTCCACTTCCCCCCAATACAAAAACTGAGTATCGCCTTCTGACCACTGAGCAACCCCTTGTCTAGAACTCTCTTGTCTTAATTATTACACTGACATTTGCTCTTCAGAGAACATGTACAGTCTATTCCCAGGTTTGCCTACAGTTATTATTTATCTTTGCCCTGGAGAATGCCAGAATCTGGTTTCAAAGTCAGATTTTTGTACATTACTTTTAGACACAGAGACCACAAAACATAGACAGTGCAGGAAAGAGAGTTTGGAGTCTACTTACGTTTGATTTCCAGCTTGGTCCCGGCTCCGAACGTCCACCACAGTGGTAGTCCTCCATTGTCTGGCTGTACAAAAACCCTCCTCACCGAAGAGGAACAGAGCCCTGGGTCAGCTGCTAAAGCTTAACCCCTTCTCCAAGCATGCGTGGAAGCTCTTTGGTTTCTCTGACAGAGAAATGCTTATTTTCATAGGCGAGACTTGAATTTGTAGAAGATAATTTATTTTATTGCATATAATATTATACATTTTTGTCTCTTTCTTTAGCAGCCTACCACATAGGATTGCTTATTATTTATCCATTTAAAAATAAAGAAAAACAGGGCCGGAGAGGTGGCTCAGCAGTTAACAGCACTTGCTTTCTTCCCTAGGCCCTTCGTTCCTGGAGCCCACATTAAGCAGCTCACAACTGCCTATCTCCAGCTCCAAGGAATCTGATTCTGGTCTCAGTACTCACAAACTCATGACACTCACTCACACATAAAACCAAATAAATGAAAGAATAGCCATTTCTTTATAATATTTCCTGGGGCGAGTGAGTATGGGGACTTCTGCAAATTATAAACTTTGATATTAGGTTAGAACCCAGTAGCATCTCTCAGTTAATAATAACTAAGACTGACCTGCTATTTGAACTTCTTTGCTTTAATGCTGTTTCATAAAAGGTAATATATATATATTATATAAAGGTAATATATATAATATATAATATATGTTATATATGTGTGTGTGTGTACACATATATAAAATCAAGGCTCATATCTTTGACATACACTTTGGAATTGAGTTATGGGTGACATATGAGGCAATGACAACCATCAGTAAAGGAGAAAAATAAGCTTTTACTCTTGGATTGGTCTGTTGTTACAGGGCAAGCATTGCTCAGGTGTCACAGAGATCAACCAGATGTATACTGCCATTGGAGTTAGTGTCTCCATAACAACCAATTAAAGACACCGAAGAACTTGCTTTGAGTGCCAGCTTCATTGACCTGTTTCCCTTGTAACCATTCATTCCCATCCTCTTCCTACCACCCTAAACTCCTTAGAGTTCTACCATGGCCCCCAGCATTTGCAAAGCAACTTTCTTGCTTCTAAACACTCTACTCTCCCTTAGGATAGCTCAGAAATAACAGTCATTCAAGATTCAGCTCAAGAGATTCTTTCTACTAGTGAGCTGGATTTACAGACAGATTGTTAGGCCTGTAGAACCTCTTTACTCTTAACTGATGTTGGATTCTCTCTTCCCTATTAGATGGTAAGCAGTTTGCTGTTTTATTAGTCAGATATTTGGGAATGTTGGTCTATTATATTTAACTGACGAGCACTCATCATATATTTGCATAATAAATGAAAAAAAGCAATTGAAAAGTCAATAATATAATCAATGATAGTAATCTACAATATAGATGAAAGGTTAGTACAGATCATGACAACAACCAGCTTTCCTAGAGAAATTACAAGTGTAACCAGATTAGAGAGACCAATTTATTTTTGTTACTGGGAGTTTTGCTAATCTGGAATGGCAGATTCTACAGTGTGTTTTACCAGAAGATAGAGAAGGAAAATAATTGAGTTGGAAGTAGAGAGAAAACAGAAATTATCAATAGAAATAAGTGTGTAAAATAGCTGATGAACTCAACTAATATGCATCCCAAAGAGGATGGAGAGTGATTTTCTCCTTAGTTATAGGAGCGATATCAACTATGAAGATTGACATTTGTTGAGAACTTATAAAATGCCAGGCATCACATATGGCTCACTGTATTTAGATATCCATAAGACTCTATGAACAAGAAATTAATATTGACTGTCTTATGGCATTGAAGGGTAGAGCTTGGATCTGAATCTGCTGCTCATGTGCTTAGCATTCTTACTGCAGGGTGGACACCAGCAACACAATCACCTGACGGAAGCAGCAGGCATGTGAGAGAACCCCGGAGTGGGAGGAAGGAAAACTCCTTAGGCCATCCTGGGGCGGTAAACGAGTGGCTAAGTGTGCCTAGATGTCTGTACAGATTGCATTGTTATTTAAAAGGTGAAAAAAAATACAAATACCAAATATCCATCACTAGGAATTTGCTCAAGCTAATTTTTGTAGAGCACAATGAACACAAATCAGTTGATAAGAGGAAAAATAGGTTTCTGGATATTTTCATGAAAAGGTGGGGCAGTGAATACTGTGTATGGTCTGACACCATGAACCTTTTAAAATGGATCCTGAAGACTGGGCTTCTTCTAGAAGGTTACACAAGCTGTGCTCAACAGTTTCTCCTGGGACTTCTTAGAAAAACTGATGGACATTCTATTCTCTTGTCTATTGTATATATGCCCTTATATTGCATATTATTTAACTGTTATATTCACTCATTTTATAATAATTCATTTCCTACATTTATTTTATGGTTGTCAGAAACAGCGAGACTATGCCACTCGGGGGGAAATGTAAATTCTGAGATTACCTTTTCTCGTTTTCTCTATTAATTTTTATAAATACCTTTAAAAAGAGTTCAAAAATGGTAAGAGCCTCTCTGGTTCTGTATAGGAGATATTTTTTTCCAGAAGCAGAATTGGGGACTGTAACATGGGAGTGGATTAGTTGCACTGGCAGTACAAGAGACACATTTCTGAGTAAACAAGATGTAGTTTGGACAGTACATGACTGCAGCAACAGATGATCGTTATGAAGCTGTATTTGGCCATACAGTGGTAGCTGATGGGTATGGGGTTGGGATCTATTTTAGTAAAAACAGATCACTGAGAAGTGGCTGAAATGTTTAATATGGGACTCATTACTTGCAGGCAAAGGATGTCTCAGGAGCATTTATGAGGCTCTACCAGGATTTATGATTCTATAGAGTGTCCATATTGGGCATTAGTTGATCTATTGAGGAAAGCCTAAGTGTCAATAAAACAACCTGCGTGGTTCCTGGACAATACATGAGATTGATGGGAATAGAATTCTGAGGGAAGCATTCCAATAAACTCATCCTTAATATTGTTTCCCATTTCAACCTCAGGAAAGTCAAATAAATTCTCAGAATAAATTTAAACCTGTTTGTGAAGAGAAAGGGAGAGGGGGAGGAATAGGGAGAGGGGAAGGGAGCCAGTAAGTATAAAAACATGTCTATAAATTATCCTAAACAATTCACAAGCTATGTCAATGACATTCCTTAGATATAACAATTCCAGAAACATGTTTTTTTTGTCAATGTAAATAATTTTGCCACCATTAAACAGTCTTTTAAGGGAGATTCTTTTCATATTAGTAACACAGAAGATTACTCAACATGTCAGAAACAAACAATTTTGTTCTCTGCAGGTTTGAGGGGTGTTGGCTTCCCTACCTGGCAGCGGAATATCCACCTTGAAGTCTCTGGTTCACTATTTCCTTTTAAGTTTATCAGTCATGATAGAGTCCTAGACAGGCAATTCTTCATGCTCCAGCTGGACTTGACTTTGGCTAGTAAATTCACAGTGTAAGAGGCGGGCTGGTCCCCTTGCTCAGGAAGGAGGGAGACAAAGGAGGTCACTTGAGAATGAGGTGCTTGTCTCTGCTTGTCCCTGAAGAAAGGCGAGTGGGCA